CATAAATAAACTACAATAAAGACAACAGAAATGTGCATGTGAAACTCAAAATCTAAAAAATGCAATATTCATTTTAACCTTTTTTTTTCAATTTGACATTCATCTTGTGGTCTTTCACAAGGCTTGGATTGTGTACATATTTATTGTAATCTTTTCTGAGTCCTGAGCTACACAAAAATGTCAAGACATACTAAGTTCAGAACGTGAAAGCCATATTTCTAAGAGTCAATAGTTTTCATTTTGTTGTTTTGGCTGGGGCATGATGACAGAATGAGTGAGTTAATTTATCTGTTTGCAGTTTCAACGTCTCTGTTGACGGCAGAAATCCTTCCAATATTGAAAGTGTGGGAAACTTCTAAATATTAAATGTAACAAAAAACCTTTTAAGCACGCTAAATGTTGCATTTGATGAGAGAGAAAGAAAGGTAAAAAGGTTACTGGTGATTTATATCCCTGTATTAACCAGAGCCTGGATTATTGACTTCCACTCTGAGCTGGAAAAAACAGCAGAGAAGTGAGTGACTCATAAGAGGTTATGAGACGGGTAGATGGAGGGGGGGAAGGGGGAGAGAGTTTGGACCCTGTGTGAAAAACCACAAAATTAAAAAAAAAGAACCAGAAAGATGACATACTGCCTTATTTATCCATATGTAACAAATTACAGCATCTGTTTACCATTTATTTTATTTACTTTGGTGATGCTGGGCCTGGTCTGATTAACATTTTCTGTAGTGTTTGTTGTCTTCTGGAGCGAGGTTTGATTGGCACTCGGTGACAACTGTTTGAAGTGAGCGCCGCTTCGGCTTTGAAGCTTTGGGGGATGAAAGCAGAGCATCCAGATATGACTGGAGGATAATCTAGAAATGAATTTTGGCTTGCTTCTGAAGGCGACCGACAGGCGACAAACATGTTTCTATGTTGATGATTAAATGTTACTTGAGATTCAGTGATGCAGGGACATTAAACAGAGACGGAGACCTCTAAATACACACACAGGAAATAAGTGAAATATGTTGTTTTGATGACAACAAGCTGTAGATGTTGATGGATGAGGAAAGAAGGAGCGATCACTTCGAATCCGTCATGAGATTTTTATTTATGATCCAGCCTGTTTGCAGTTAATCTTGTTTATCAGTGTTGCCCATTAAAGCTGCCTTCAATACATCTTAAAAACATTCAATTCAAAAAAACATTTTCTGATTGAACATTTTCTCATCAAAAGTAGTCAAGCAATACATCCTATAAGAAAAACTGAAGTGCGTAAATAACGTCAGTGGGAACTGTGTGGAGAATGCAAAAAGTCAAAGTTTTGAAAACTTAAAAAAAGCAGAAATGGCTTTAAATGCTGGAGGGTGTCACAGGTTAAAGTAACAGGACTCAATAGTTTAGTGAAGAGAAGTCAGCTAATCCATACTCAATGTAAATACATGCTCAATATAAAGTCCTCCTGGCAAATGAAAAAAAAAGGTTGGCTCTGACTTTTCTCTCAAATTTAATCTTATAAACTAATGCTTTGCATTTTGATCCTCTCCCAAAGAATCACTTAGATTCATTTTAGTGTTTCTGAGCAAATGTATCTGCAGTGGATGGAGACACCTGACTAAAACAAGAACGGATGTATATGACTTCATAAGACTTTGTAATGTTTTCAGTAAATGTATTTTCATTGTGCAATTATGACAAATGTTCAGTCAAGAATGTAAACCTTAAGTCATTTTTGTGAATTAAAGTAAAATTAAACTGATTATTGTAATGGTCTGTGAATTTAGTGACACATTTTGTCTCCGCCCACTACAACTATGCATCTTCCAATTTGTTTGTTTTTATTTAGATTCCCATTAGCTTTTGCATAGCAGCAGCTATTCTTCCTGGGGTCAACATTATTTTTCAAAATGGCAATACAATAATACACATAACATCCCAGTACAACCAACAACAGTGTATAGCGATGTAACCATAACACCGACCACACATCACAGTAAAACCCATACAACAACTATTTAAGTCACATAATTAAAACATTCATCACAAAACCAACACACTCCTCACCTACACTTAGACACGCACAGCCACACAAACATGGATTAAAATATATATATATATATATATATATATATATATATATATATATATATATATATAACAATTTGATGTACTAAATGATAAAACATTTGTTATGTTCAGCATAAAATACTAAATAGAATATCATTAAAACTTGATTGGCAATCTGAAAAAAAGCTGTTATTATAACCCAAAATTCGATTAGAAAAAAAATCGTCAGTTTAAGATTAAAAAAACTTTTGTCAAAAGATTTATTAAAACTACATTGTGGATGACGGACTGAGTTATTATTTTACAGACCAGGGTTGAAGACGGCTTCTAAGCTACAGTGCTACGTTTTCTGAACAACCCAATGCACTGACAATAATAACTTACTTCAGACTACCAACACTGACCTCTAGAGGATACAAGTGATCACAACCTCTTCAGTACTTCACGTCTCAAGAAGGAAGAAGCTCAGTGCAGCAGAATCTAATGTATGTTTCTTTGTCTCCGTTATTTAGAGAGGATGTTTCTATGGGGGTTTTATCAGCCACAAGTAGATTTATAACATGATCTTTTCAGAACAGCTCATCCTTCACTGGCATCAGGGGATTTCAATGAGCTCACTTGTATCAGGCAGAGAAAGTTTTATTCATCAGTGGAATCCACATTATTTGAGACATTTTGATTCCGGTAAATAGATAGAGGTCTTAAGTTATAAGTTGAAAAAAATTATCAGAGTGAAAGTAGCATATGCAAAACAATGGAAAGAGAAATATCAAAACAGAGACAATATTACTCTCACTGTTTGCTTTTGGTTGCCAGCTGTGTCGGCAGCAAAGGAAGCACCTTTAAGGTTTTGGAAATGTTTCCTCCACTTAACCACACTGCTACGTTTCTGAGAAATCCTGCATAGAACAAAACTGAAAAACAACATTTCACAGCCAAAATCTGCATTCACAACCAGGAAAGCAAGGGAAGACAAAGGCACTATCTTAGTGAATGTACTCCTCTCTTATCTGCCTGATTGATCTGATATTAAAATGTAGTAAATGATAAAAACTGAATGTATAAGGCTATGAAATAACACTGTAAATGTCATTCTGATTGAAATACTGGGTTCTGGTCAATTTGAGAACAAACATTTCTTTGTTTTCTCTTTAAATAATTTTGCATTTAAATGTTGGACCAGTTTTTGATTCAGATTATTTAAAACTGTCCTAAACAAAACCTCAATTTCTCAGAAAACAAGTGTCACCAAATAAGTATTATCTGTAAAAGCACTTTATATGGAGTAAAGAAGACATGATTAGCTCAACCCTTGGATAAACTGTGTACAGAGCTTTAATACAATTTCAATAATTTGGCTCAATATCCAAATTGTTTTATTTTTACTGAATCAAAATGTTAACTGCATCTGCATATTTTATGAAAAGTGTTTAATCCTGAATTAAAGGACAGTTCTGCAAGTAATCGATACAAGCAACGTTTACATCAAATAGCTTCCCTAGGAGTGATTGTATACCACATTACAAAGGCAGGGAGAAACAGTTCTGTAGTCAAAAGGTTGAGAATTTCAACCATCGAATAACAGCTGAGGTCAACAGTAAGCGCTGAGTCCTCTCATTCTGTCCTTCTGTCCTGGACAGATGTGATGTAACATTACATCTGGTGAGAGGCCCCCGCTGTCCCGGAACAGTTTGTATAAACAGCACGATATTAATTTGTGAGTTGAATGTGCAGAGAGCTGATCTACAGCCAGCTCTTAACGCTTTTCAGCGATGCTGTTGGGAGTTGCGTGCAACCCTGGGTACACTACGCATGCGTCAAGGTAATACACAACTTATACAGAGAAGAGTGCTGCAAAATGAGATGTTTCAGCTCGTGCTATTTCCGTTTTCGGGTGGATGAACTTGTAACGATGATGAAGCTGAGGGGGTAAATTATCCTATCTATTTTCAATAAATATTTATTAATTTCGTTCTTGAATCTATGTTTTACTATATTCTTTTGTGTGTAGGTTTCTTTTTTGTATTTTTATTTATTTTAATGTAACATGGCTATAGGCCTAGGCTATATCAAAACTCGCCAAATGTTTCAAAGGTACGTTTTTACTTTTTTTTTCTATGTCAAAATTCGGTGTAATAATTAAATTCCCTCCATTCAATACTTTACTTCAGTTAGTGTACGGAAGTCTTTTAGGTCTCATATTCAAAAGTATCCAAAATAAAGTGTAGGAGCTATTTATTTGTTGATAGAATTTAGTTTGTTAGGCCTATTTAGTTTATTTATGTTATGTACATGTATAATATAATAAAGAGTAAGGTCTACAACAGGGATGGGCAACTTTGGTCACAGCAAGGGCCAAATTGTAGGATACAAAAACGATTACAGTCAATTTTGACTCCAATTTAACTCAACATATGCCAGTGATCAAATATTATTATGGACATACTTCTGGTTTTCATGATTTCATGGTAGATTTAGTCATGTTTTCTTCCGATTAATTGATGTGTAAAAATCGACCTGAGGGCCACGTTGAGGGTTGATGGGGGCCGCATGTTGCCCACCCCTGGTCTAGACTTTATCTTTTTTTTTTTAAAGATTCTTGAGATAAAATATGTTATGAATTGGCACTATATGGGCTAAAGATTGACTGATGCTTGATTGATGTGTTAGTAGTGTTCTCTGACTAAAAGTCTCACCCTAACAGTGAAACATATCACTTTAGTGTGGAAAATAAGCAATTACAAGCATTCAAAAGTATCTATAGAAATTGTCAACCTCGTCACTGACAGTCTTTTTTTTTTTTTTTTACTAACTAATGCTGTGTTGTACAAAAATACCTCAACTTAGAACACGTTCGTTTAATGTGCAAACCAACAGGGAGTGAATGATCTTGCTCTCTGATAAAAGTGTTGTATCTTTGACGTTGACGACGGAAGCCTGCTGCTGCTTTGCGTGACTCGTTGGTTAGCGTACGTGACGCCGCGCCACCTCCCTCTTCTCTCCTCCCTTTGTGCGGTTGACAAGCCCCTTCTCGGTCAGGACTGGAACACAGAGAGGTACGTTATGTATCCATCACTAAAATGCGACTATACTTAGATTTTCTGTACTGCACTTCTTTTGTCTTTATCACTATTAGTCGACTGACTCTGACATCCGGGTCCCGCTGCTGTTTGTCTCATCAGGTCATTTTTAACCTGAGTAAGGATGTCGCTCGACGTCCTGCAGAGATGCTAGGCCTACTGCTAGCTAATGTCTTGCGGTCATTTGACAGGGCATGGGCTAGTGGTCAGCAGCTAGTCAGCTAGATAGCAAAGAAGCTTACCTAGCTAATGGCTTTGCCCTCTGGACATCATGCGACCTCCTGCTTGACTCTCTGTCCTCACAGGAGGACGCTGTCCGCATCCCACCTTGATGATGCTAATCTGTTAGCAGGCGAGGGAATGGAGATGATGCCTTCACTGCCCTCATAAGCCTATGAGTCAAGTAGCCACTGCTCTAGTCTCTGTAGGAAGACCTTTTAAATTTATTTTAGAGAAATTGTAGGTCTTAAAATAACTTGATCATAAATAAAGATGTGCACAAGGTTGGTAAATATCCAAAAACTGAGCTTCAAAGTCAATAAGTAGATTTTTTTTCATCATGGTTCGAGTTTGGTGCGTTCTCTCTTCGGATAATAATTTGTTTTATAACCATGCAAAGATATATTTCTTTAGCTTAAAAATATTAAGCTCCAAAAGTCGCCTCTTTCTCAATAATGTTGTAATATGTCGAATGTGTTACAAGCCCTAAGTCCTCTTCTTGCCATGTGTGAAAGCCATAAAGCTACTCAGGCGCAGTGGGGTGGTTTTTGGCAGCCTGTGCATGTATGTGTGTGTGCATGTGTGTGTGAGCATGTGTGTGTGAGCACAGGGTGAATGGCTTAGTGGACATACGATTTGTGTATGTCTTCACAGGCTCTGTAGAAAGATGTGTGACATTTGACATTTACTGCCCTATGAATACAGATCAGTTCTTCCACATTGACTGGTCCTGAGGGATCTGTAGAGAAGTGTAGACACATGCCATGAACATGTTCTCATGATTTGTGTTGGAGCTGATGTTAACCCCATTTTTGGGTGCTGAAAATTAAAGAAAAGGGGCCTGATGCAGAAAACAAAAACAAATGGGGCCCCAATATGCAAAGGGGTACACTTCAGTAGACGTGTCACGATAAGTCATAAGTATAGGTGGAGTGAAAAGGTGGGGTTGTTGAAAAAAGGTGGGGTTGCCAACAGACCTGGTTGAACAGGCTTAAAGGCAGAAATGAGACATGGATTTTGAACTACTATTACACTAGTGTAAAATATGCTTGGATTTTAGTTTTATATTACTGGTAGCAAAAGCCTTGTTCCCTCCTGTTGTATGCCCAAAAATTGCAACTCACCTGTTCACATTCCTGGTCTTTCTACTGTCAATATACAGGTTTATGTTATCGATATGATTGTGCAACAGCTGTTACTTCACAACTATTGTGCTTTTGAGAAAATGGAATCTGTGTTTACATATCCTAATGAGGAACTAGATATGTCTTGCACAACAGGCTGCTCATGGATAGAAAGGACAAAGAAGTTCACTCAAACACATAGAGGGTTAGCAAACATCTGCTTTGTGCTTCAGTCTGTGGCCATCATTGTTTTTGTCTGAACTTAGCTTCTTCTCCCACTCTGCAACATCCCATTTGAGTTAAGAAAGTTACTATGTGGGGAAAATAAGATCTTAGTTTTTTCAGAACTGAACAATTGTTTGAAATTAAATAAGCCTTTAAAAAAAAAAAAAAAAAAAATCAAGAATGAAAAACTATTGACAAAGCTTAAAGTTCAAAATCCCAAACTGAAGGTCAAAGCCTAATGCAAAAAATGTGACAAGCTGACATGTTTTCACAAAAGTGTATGCGTTAGCATCGCAGTGTACCTTTGTGTTGCTCATGTAAGATAGTAACTTCATGAGATTTCTACCTTTCCTCACCATCAGTGTCACTGACCTCCAGTGTCTGCTGCCTCCCTCTCTCAGCACCTCCGAGTTCTCACCTAACACATCACATCTGATCTGTCAGTGTGCTCTCCTGATGCAGTGTGCTCACTGTGCCTTCAATGTTGTGTGTGGCTGGCACATCTGTGAAACAGAAGAGACACTCGGGATGTTACTTAGCAGAGAGAGTGTCTTTTTTTTTTTTGTCTCCTTGTTCTTAGTCACAGCCTTGAACCTCATCTTTCTCTGTGCAGATAATGGCTGTACCTCCGACCTACGTTGACCTTGGAAAGTCTGCCAAGGATGTTTTTACCAAGGGATACGGTAAGCAAGAAGCAGCCATTCACACTCACTCATTAGATCAACATATGCAGCCCCATACTACAGTAAACGTTTAAAGTGATTACATTTGGCCGTGATGCGTTGTTAAAAACTCAGTCACAATGTGTTCAATGCAATTTGGAGCAGTGCAAGTTTTAACCTTTAAGCACCTTTAACAATAGCTGTTCAAGGCAGGACCGTGACACCCCTGTTACCTCTCACTATTAAATACCCTAAAATCCGGCATATAGGTCTCACTGGTTTATAAGACAGTCTGATCTTGGATGTCTACCAGACAGAAAAGAAGGTTTGATCTGTAGTCCCGGTAATGATTTCTATTGTGAAGTCTACAACGTGCACTTTCTGTGTAGCTGTGTCTGTGTAGCTCTTTCAGAACCATTTGTTTTCGCTTTGTGGAGTTTGCACTCCTCCTTGCTACAGTACGGTAGTTGAGTACTCAGCCTACAGGAACAGTTGTGATGTACAGAGTAGACTCTCTTCCCTGAAGTCCTGCTGCCCACCTTCACTGTTGACCTGTGCTGGGAAACAAAGCGTCACTTTGTTTCCCAGCACGGCTTACAATACACAATGAATGGGGGCAAATTTTCAATTGCGTCATTTCGCGTCTACTGTGTAGTGTATTGTGTAGTGTATTGGTCACGCCGGTATATAGTGTGTAGCAAACTTTGTATATAAAAAAATAAAAAATAGGTCACAAAAGTGCGTCTCATACATCGGACGTATCGGTAAATGTCACAGACGCACAAAGTTCAGGTAGTAACAGAGGCGTAACAGAAGTGTAACAGCGCTGTGTGTGGTCATCTGAATGTGCTCCTGCTATTTGATTGGTATGATTGCTTCCTTAACTTAAAACTAGTTTTATTAAGTCACCTCTCTTTATATGATCATTTATTTTCACATTTTTGTAAAATGAGTATGAGATTGTTTTTCACCTTAAACTCAAGAAGTGTAGAGTGACAAACCAAATGTTGTGCTCGGAAGTTATAAAAAGAGAGCTCTTACAAAATGTCAAGCTTCAGTCTACAGTGATTCTACAAACCCAGCCTCTGTATCCAATGCAGTGTTTGCTACAATGTCGGAGAAAAAAAAATCATAAACCAAACTTCTTTGTTTTCATAGAGTACCACTAGCAGCCTTCTTGTTAAGAGCCCTTTTTTTTATTACAAACCCACAACAGCACCGTAACAAAGCTCCACCATCACTTTGCCTTCATTCTTCTACAACAACGCGTCCAAACGACATGATATTGGTGTCTCAGTGTGGAATTTCACATTTTGTTAACAGCGTTGTGGAATCTCAAGAGGCAGGATGAGTGAAAAGCAGCGGGAGCTTCACATACACACACACACTATCAGACATGCAGATACAGCGTTAACTGTCACAGTCTTCTCCTGATACGTCTCTGTAACGACCTCTGATGCTGGTCGAGGGGCTGAACGACTTTGCCACGCCATTATTGACTCGTGTGAGATGAGGTGTAGCACGAGTGTAAACATCCTGGCATTAACTGGCAATGTATAAACAGCTAAGGAGAACTACAGAATCTGCAGTTTTAGTAGGTGTCATTGGGGTGTGTTTTGTGTGTACTATACACACAGCTGTGCTCTAAAGGTTACGGCGTGATGTCTTCTTTTTATCAAGGAATTGCTGCAGCAGAGCGATTCACATTTCCATTAAGGATAAATCCTCACTAGTCTGACAGTGGCTTGAATTGAGTAAAAGCTATGTCACATATTGAACATAACCTGCAGGGAAAAGCATCAAACCTGAGATTTGTCCCAAAGCTGAGGACCTATTGATGGAGAAGGAAGTGCTGCTTCAGATAAAGATATGCATTGATTGGTTGATGAGTATAAGGTTTACTGAAGGGGTAGGTTTGACAATAGAGTAGTGCTAAGCTAAGCTAAGAAGCACATGAACATTACCATCTGTAGCTCCTTATGTGAAGTTTGGTTGGGTGAATCAATTAATAACTATAATGGTTTAAAAATCTGAATCTGCAAAACAAACCTTGTGTCTATGTTTCATATCTGTCTGCTCTAATGAACCTGCAACCAATCAATGCACAGGTTCAGTCAGTGGGATAGGGATCATTTTAATTGTACTCTGGAGGCTAATTGTTCACCAATATTAATCCATTTATTGATTTACTGTGTTCTGGAGTATCTAAATTGATTTTCTTTTAAGGTGTATGGATATAATTATGGGGAAAGAGTAGACTAATGTATGGTAGTATAACAGCTTTGGTGTTTAAATAGTCTACTTTTTTTGTTAGAGCTATCCAATACTTGTGTTCTAAGAATGATTTAATGTTTCATGGGGGTTATTATTAGATGTAAAGTTACATCTTCACATGATTTTGATCCTTTTTATGTTTCAGGCTTTGGGCTCATCAAGCTGGACTTGAAAACAAAGTCTGAGAATGGACTGGTAAGTCTTTGTCAGTCATAATCAGTTTATCATAGCTGCTCCAGGACACTTTAACTTCCATCTCTTAACTCATATATATAATTGTTTTAGATTTACTCAAATAAGACCTTGTGTCCAAATAATCACGTTTGATGTGCGTTTCCTTTAGAAGTACACAAAAATGTAGTTATTACATTTTTGGCTTTCTTTTAATAAATAAATCTCGGAAATCTGTCCAAATGTTCTATCAATGTCTCATAAAAATGATATACTTTATGTGTCTATGTTGATTGGAAGATGATTGCTAGTGAACCTGTTGTTCCCCAAACTGTTCTCTTCAGGAGTTCACCAGCACAGGCTCTGCCAACACTGAGACCAGCAAAGTCGCAGGTTCCCTGGAGACCAAATACAAGTGGGCAGAGCACGGACTGACCTTCACAGAGAAGTGGAACACAGACAACACCCTGGGAACAGAGATCACCCTTGAAGACCAGGTATTAGACATTGCTCGGCTGACAAGAAATCCTAAAAAGTGATATAAATATGTTTGAGGTTGCTGTTGGCAGGAAAAATATATTGTTTTCTCTGAATTCACTCAAGTACTAGGTCAATTATTCCTTGTGACTTTGTAGTTTCATAATATGTACATGATTGTTGATTTTGTTTGCAATATCTTCTTAACTATTCCACAGTTGGCTAAGGGGCTGAAGCTGACGTTTGATTCCTCCTTCTCACCAAACACTGGGTAAGAGCAGCTAAATGAGAAGTTGGTCTGGTAGCTGGAGAGATGCCAGGGCACTTCCTGAGAACTGCCGAGGTGTCACTGAGTAATTCACCGAAGCCCCAACAGCTCTGGAAGTGTGTAGCAGCCTCAATCTGACATCTCTCCACTAATGCATGTCCACACGTCCTGTTTGTGCATGTGTGTGTATTTCAGGCCTCTGTGTGGGAGGAGCATGTCTCTCGATGGCAGAGTGTACACCAGAATTTCTCTCAGGGATTATTTAAGTATATAAAAGGAATGGTTAGATATATCCTAAATACCCTTTTGATCTACAGCTGATAGGTATAAACATTTAATTATAATAAGGGACCTTATCCATCTTCATCGGGCAAAATCAGCCTTTTCTTCGAAAGCATTTTTCTTGAAACTGTCCAATAGTCTCATTTGACTGCAGCTATCAATTTGGACAGAACAATTGATCATTGAATTAAACAAGCGGACGTGTAAGCTACTTATTTAGCTGAAATACAGGTAGGTAACATAGGTCTGATTAAATTAACACATCAGTGAACTAGAGGAGATGCTCAACTGCCAACTAGCTTATGTTGGCTAGCCAGGTTTGCTGACCCGCTCCGCTAAGGTCACCAACGAAGTCACCGAGGCACCCTGCTCTTAAACGTGGATAGAAGGCACGATGCACGGAGCACTTACATTTGGCTGGACTCAGATTTCATGGATAAATCCTAGCTGAATTAAAAGTGAAGGATACTATGAACATTATTGTGTTACTTGGATCTGTAAACCTCTAATCTGTGCCAAACATCATCAGTGTTCAAAAACAAGACCCCCCTCCCCCAATTCTTGCCGTGACAATATACTTTTTGTTGAAATCCTGATTAAAAAGTGCATTTTTTCCACTTTATTTATTGTTTTCACAACAGTGGGATGTTTTAGCTCTTGGGGAACCTGACATTTGATTAACAACATACTGTCTCCTCCCAAAATTTTGACAGCAAGAAGAGTGGAAAGATCAAGACGGGCTACAAGTGTGACCACATCAACCTCGGCTGCGACGTGAACTACGACATCAATGGTACAGCCATTCATGGAGCAGCAGTGGTTGGCTACGAGGGCTGGCTGGCCGGCTACCAGATGACTTTTGAGGCTGGCAGGAACAGGGTCACCCAGAGCAACTTCGCTGTTGGATACAAGACCGACGAGTTCCAGCTCCATACAAATGTGTAAGACTACAAGAAGCAGATTGTTACTGTCATTCATACAGTGCTCACAGTTTTGTAAATCTAATGATGTTTAAGGTAGATTGCAGAGTAAATGTAAACTACCAAGGTACTAATGGTAGCCTGAAGCTTTAGTCCAAACATCATCAACCATAACCCGAAGACTGTTAAGGTTCCGATGATGTTATGAAATATGTTACAGAGTAAATGTTCGATCTTTAAGTAAGTCCAGACGTGTGACCTTAATCAAACCAGTCTTCAAACGGTTTCCTTGTCCTCGTCTGGCTGAATAACTTGTTGCCCATTTGGCTGTCTGCCCGGCTCCCAGGTGCCTGGCAGTTATTTTTACAGCCAGGTGATTGGATTTACTATATTACAAGTGAGGTGAAGGGAGTTGTTGCCAGACGTAAAGACCTCCAGTGAAAGGCAGAGTGTGGTGGTGTCAGGCAGGGAGAGAATGTGAGGGAGCAAAGAACTGGTCACAGTGTCTCATCTTTTTTTTTTGTTTCCTGCTGTACCTCTCACTGAGTCTGTCAGTTTGAATTACAGCAGAAGTGCTTGTGTGAGGTCAGACAAAGTTTAATGAAGGCTTTGCATCAGTGGCATGCAACGTCCTGAGTATGAGTCGGACTTGTTTACTAAACACAAGATCATTTCACATATAATGTAGGAGAATACATATTTGAATATAGTTACGATTACAGTGTATTTATATTCCAATCTGTTTTGTTTTTTTCTCAGAAATGATGGAACTGAGTTTGGTGGCTCCATCTACCAGAAGGTGAATGACCAGCTGGAGACAGCCGTTAACCTCGCCTGGACCGCTGGAAACAGCAACACCCGCTTTGGCATCGCTGCAAAGTATCAGATCGACCCTGACGCATCCTTCTCTGTGAGTAGTGTTCAACTTGCAGAAATAGGAGTGGTAACAGTAGTAGTATAGTCAGGTGTTTTCTAATGGCAGTGTGACTTCTTTGATACCCCTCAGGGATTGTTGTAACCTACTCATCCCATCATCCAGAGGTCAGGGAAAGCAGTTGTTTGATACCATGCTGCAGGCAGTTTATTATCATTAATGACTCTACATTCTGTTTAATGAAAGAAAAAACACTGCTGCATCAAAAGTAGCTAGCACTTTTCAAATCTAAGTCACAATCTTCCCAACACGACCTGTCATGCTGATCAACTTAAAAAAAAAAAAAATGGATGCAAGTCCATGAAAACGAGTAAGTGCAGTGTCCACCCGGGTAAAATGGTGAATAGGAGTGTGTCTGCTGCAGAAGGACCAGGCTCACAGTAGTCCTTTAATCCCAGTTGAAGAGGAGCCACTATAAGTGAATGGTTGTTTTGCCTACTGGCCATTTTGTCTCTGTTTGAACTTCATGTGTTTCCCAAACAGGCCAAGGTGAACAACTCCAGCCTTGTGGGCCTGGGCTACACTCAGACTCTTAAGCCAGGTGAGTGCACTTGTTTTATAAAAGAAGTATCAAGTGCTTTAATGAACCAAAAGACTGACCATGTTTACAGAGACAACAATATTTATTTAATCGAACACTGTGAACCAGATAATGTTATAACAATTGATAAAATCTGAATGTAGGCCTGATCTGAGCAGAGTGATTGAGATGTGTGCGTGGAATATTTAGTTTTATAATTGAGGTGTATTTTACACCTGTACAGAGGACATGTTTATTGTGATGGGCTGTCTTGCAGTTTTTGAAGTATTTGATCGAAAAGAATGCATCGCACTACTTAAAGATGCATTCCTCTGCTGACTTTAGTTCGATTAGAGCTAAACCCTAAACAGAACAGTAATATAGTGCAATATGACTTTGATTTCAAGGACAAACAGCAGAAGACAAATTAAAGAACTATATACTTTAATGTTGAATAGTGGTAGAAAACAGACATGATGGAGGTGGGAAACTTTCCGTATATCAGTGTGGCTCAGTAAACTATGTGTTGTAAAATAAATATTCCATACATTTGTTCGTGGGACTGGCACAAAATATCTAAATGTTGGCGCTTGTAAAAATGGTTTAGTCTGCGCATGTCTTCACTAGATGTCTCTGTTTCTGCAGGCATCAAGCTTACCCTCTCTGCTCTCCTCGATGGCAAGAACATCAACGCTGGTGGCCACAAGCTTGGTCTCGGCTTGGAATTCCAGGCATAGGAGGATGAGGCTTCTTTTCCTCCCAACACACATGCACCCCCCCCCCCTTTCCAAAAATAAATAAATCCTTTACTGATTAGCTAGCCCTCACAAAACCCTTGTTCCCCCTAGAAATGCTACAGCTGGATAAAGAAGACAGCTTAAAGGTCAAATTGTTCTTTCAATGATCTACCACTTTTAAAGGACCACTTAAAGGGAACATTATTTTGTCATAATACAGAGCCAATGCTCAGAACAAAACCACAATGGAACGTTTTATCATGAATTATGTAGCTCACATGGGAAAGGTAGCTTTTTGAGGACATAGATGTTGGCCTCACTCTTTGTTGTTTCACTACATTCCTACATGATGCTTTAATTTCTTAGCGTTCCAACCCAGAGAAAAGGGAAAAAGAAACTAGCTCAAAATGCGTACAGGACTCAACACATCCAGCATACAGTTGAGTAGTTATACAACTAGATGGTGCTGTTACATTGCATCATTAAGCACTCCTGGCTCTAAAGCAGTAGTGGTGACAACTGTTACTTCCACACCTCTTCACTTGAGAGCTCTACTGTCTGTCTTAATATTATCTTATTCAACAGAGAGGGTTAGTTGTCCCTGGTGTAAGCTGCTGTCAGTTGCCCTAAAAGACAGTTAACCCCAGTGTATACTTTGTGTGTTTTTGTCTCACTTGTTCTTTGTCTGTGCATTTGGTGTAAAACATGTCTTTTGTTACATAAAGCAAAAAGAACATTATTTTATTGACAGTCTTACATAGTTTATTCCACATGTGAAGTCTTATGAAAGTGAGGATCTGTTGATTAGAGCCAATAAAAGAAAAATGTATCATGCACACAGTGAAACCCAGTGGAGGAGAGTTACAGGACTTCTTTAAAGAAGGACGCTGAATATAATGAATATAATGGAGAGGTGGTAGTCTTCCACAACTGGTTATGGGAATCGTACTTAGTGTTACTGACAGTATTGCCATTCCCTGAATTAAATAAAGAACATCTTGAACCAGTTTCTAATTGTATTGCTCTTTATTTTGTTATAACAACTTCCTGGAGGCTGAGGTCACCTCTGTACATGACTTGCTTTTTCCAATGAGTGTTCAGAAATCATAGACTTAACATAACATACAAACAGCCAACCTTGACAATTTAGCTTAGCAAATAGATGAAAAAACAAGCTTATGGGTGTGACAAGTTTGCATATGCTTAATGGGCTTACAATCTGTAGCTGTGATTAACGTCATAGCTGAAATACTTTTCATTTTTAACCTTTTCATTAAACAAGGCATTGAAAGTGTAAACTAATATCTGAAGTAGTTAAAGGTTCACTCGTGGATATCTTTTTTTCTGTGCTATTTCTATGTTGGGGTTAACTTATTTGTTAATAACAGTGAGTCTTTTACAGGAAGGACTCTCACCAGTCTATATGACTCTCACCAGTCTATAAGTCTCTCACCAGTCTATTTGACTCTCACCAGTCTATAAGTCTCTCACCGGTCTATTTGACTCTCACCGGTCTATATGACTCTCACCGGTCTATAAGTCTCTCACCGGTCTATAAGTCTCTCACCGGTCTATTTGACTCTCACCGGTCTATATGACTCTCACCGGTCTATAAGTCTCTCACCGGTCTATTTGACTCTCACCGGTCTATGACTCTCACCGGTCTATAAGTCTCTCACCGGTCTATAAGTCTCTCACCGGTCTATTTGACTCTCACCAGTCTATAAGTCTCTCACCGGTCTATATGTCTCTCACCAGTCTATTTGACTCTCACCAGTCTATATGACTCTCACCAGTCTATAAGTCTCTCACCGGTCTATTTGACTCTCACCAGTCTATTTGACTCTCACCAGTCTATATGATTCTCACCAGTCTATGACTCTCACCAGTCTATATGATTCTCACCAGTCTATATGACTCTCACCGGTCTATATGACTCTCACCGGTCTATATGTCTCTCACCGGTCTATTTGACTCTCACCGGTCTATATGACTCTCACCGGTCTATAAGTCTCTCACCGGTCTATTTGACTCTCACCAGTCTATATGATTCTGCCCAGTCTATAAGTCTCTCACCGGTCTATAAGTCTCTCACCGGTCTATTTGACTCTCACCGGTCTATATGACTCTCACCGGTCTATAAGTCTCTCACCGGTCTATTTGACTCTCACCAGTCTATATGACTCTCACCAGTCTATTTGACTCTCACCAGTCTATATGACTCTCACCAGTCTATATGACTCTCACCAGTCTATATGACTCTCACCAGTCTATGTCTCTCACCAGTCTATATGACTCTCACCAGTCTATAAGTCTCTCACCAGTCTATTTGACTCTCACCAGTCTATGACTCTCACCAGTCTATATGACTCTCACCAGTCTATTTGACTCTCACCAGTCTATATGACTCTCACCAGTCTATATGACTCTCACCAGTCTATTTGACTCTCACCAGTCTATGACTCTCACCAGTCTATGACTCTCACCAGTCTATATGACTCTCACCAGTCTATGACTCTCACCAGTCTATTTGACTCTCACCAGTCTCTATGACTCTCACCAGTCTATTTGACTCTCACCAGTCTATATGACTCTCACCAGTCTATTTGACTCTCACCAGTCTATTTGACTCTCACCAGTCTCTATGACTCTCACCAGTCTATTTGACTCTCACCAGTCTATTTGACTCTCACCAGTCTATATGACTCTCACCAGTCTATTTGACTCTCACCAGTCTATTTGACTCTCACCAGTCTATATGACTCTCACCAGTCTATTGTCTATTTGACTCTCACCAGTCTATGACAAACAGTCACGTGTTCGTGGTGAACTGTAGACCACGCCTCTTCAGTCACTCACACATCGACATGGCGGCGCACGGAACGATGAGTCGAAGCAGGAGGCACATTTGTGCTCTTTCTTGGCTAATTTTCGTCCAGCTATTTGCCTCACAGTGCCTGTCACTTCCGATAAAAGGCTCGACATCAGGTATGTTACACTTTTATGAATTATTTAAAAAGGAATTTCTGATTTAACTAACCACAGGACTGGTAGTTAGCTAGTCAGGTAGCTACATAACACTGCTGTAGCTTGTTGGCTAATACGTCATGCTAGCGAGCAGGATGTCAGGTGAGAGGGACCCAGAAAAGTACAATTTCTAACTTAAGTCATTATTGAACCATCTAAGGGTATAGGATATAAACCAATTTCCAAACTAACATTGAAGGAGTTCATCCTCAAAGGTTTGTTATTGAGAGACGTCCGTTGTGTTTTGAGATTTATGCGTATCGAAATAAACGTAAATAACCTTTTTAGACGCCATGTCTAGCATACCTTAGGCTCACTATCTAACCATAGGCTGTAACTACAAGTCTAACCAGTCATCAATGCTTGATAACCAAGCAACTAACTTAACATTAAACCTGTGTTGGGTTTGACATCTACTAAGTTCAGTCCTTTGAACGCGTCTGCTTTTAGCAGCCCTGCGGCGACTCCAGAGCTTTTTTTGATTTGTGAAGGCCTGAAAAAGTTATTGTTTCAGGTGTCCTTGTCATATATCTATTCTGTTAATGTACCCCTGTCAGTCCAGTTCCCATACCCTCTAAAGAAAAAGCCTTTGAAGTTAACCACCAAGGGAAAGGGCTGTAAAATTGACCCCATAGGCAGGCTCGGTCTTGCATAAATGGACTTTGACTTAGCGTCATATATTGACTAAATCAGTTTTAAATGGGTCAGCTGTGTTGGTTTCTTAGCCTGTTTTCTCTATTCTTTTAAAAATGAAGACTATGTATCTTGTTACTGCATCTTTGTGCTTCTCAGATTGCAACATTGTGTTAGTCTTTGTCTTTTTGAGGGGGAAACATAAAGTATCTGGCCTATTTCTTTTTCCTTCCCAAGAGGACTGTAAAGTCATAATTCTTATCTTTCTTTCTCTATCTGATTGTCTCTGTGTACAACTGAGACAAAGGTGCACAGACACAGCTAAAAAAAAAAAAAACATGTGTTGATTATTCATCAGCAGCTGAAACTTATTTAAGGGCATTTGTTCTGAAAAGTATTTCTAATAACATTTGTCCAATTTGTCTTGTAAGCAGAACTATGTAATGGAGATATTTACTGCAATATCTCCTTGTAGCCTAGAATCATATTAGTATCTGATAGCAGTATTAACCAAGTTGAATTGTCATCTTCTTTTGAAGTATTTAAGGTTACACAAACATTTTGTTTAACGTAACCTGCTGTTAGATTCAAGCATTCAAACAAAGGGAGGAATTTGATTGACTTGAATAGACTGAATAATTATTCTGTAAAACAAACATTTAATTATCAGATGTGTAGTTGCTCAATTGGTTTGTGACTTAAACGCATTAAAGTTTTGTTTTAGGGGGGTCATACAAATATGATATGGGGTGAATCTCACTAACAGTGACAAATGAACAATGGCCTTTTTAGTTAAAGATTAGAATATGACGAGATTTGGGGTTAAGTGAAATATTATTAACTTACTAAATATCAAAACAAGAATAATCTAAGCTGAATATACTAAATTTAGTTTCACCCAGCTACCACAAAGATCTCCTGTTCAGTGATTATTTATGCAGGCTGTGGCTTATGTGTATGAATAGTCTCTTTCTTCTCTTTGTGACGTCTTACCTCGGGCCTCAAGTCCCTGGTGTTCTCCATCCATCCCTGCCTAAGCAACGCCTCCTCCTCCCACAGGATAGAATAATGTTGACACTTATTGGTTGAAGGATGTCATTGATTCAGGAGAGGTGGCCAAATGAGTCAGGATCAGCGTTAGCTTTGGAAATTATTACAAATCACATCAGTTTTGTTCAATTCAATTTTACTGCAATTTTTTTTTAAACTCCTGGACAAAGTTGAAAAAACTATTAGTATTCAAACCTCTTGTAAGAAGATCTGCCAGCCTAATTGAAACTAATGAAAGGCTGACGAGATGTCCATTATCAGTAATCTACGGAATTAATTCCTGAAAATAGAAACATTGATTAATCGCCAAAGCATTATTTGTCGTTAGTGTTTGTCACCAGTAGTTGTGCGATGAGGGCAAGTTGTGGGTGTATGCATGTTTCACACACAAACAAGCTGGTGTTAAGCATGAGTTTCCACTTGGCAGCTCTCTTATGGCAGCAAGAGAGTTGACTGCCTTGCCCAAGAGTATTTAAGTCTCTTAGTGGGAGGATAAGCTAATTTAACAGCTATAGCTGCTGTTGTTAAACATGATACATATTACAAGAGTACAAAGTATTCAGCTTTTTTAAAATTTTATTGAAAGACACCGGACAATAAACTTAAAAAACAACACACAAAAGATGATTACACTGAGTACATGTCAAAAGTAATCAGCTTTAAATGAAGGAACTTGAATGTTCTGCCACTTCTTGTGTTGGCTCAATGTTTTTGATGCGTTTTTAAATAACAATTTTGTCAATATTATTTTGTAACCATGTATAAAAATTCTTGCACTTTTATTCCCTCTTACCTTACAGTGTCTGCAAACACTAATCAGGAGGATGAAACTCTTTCTTTGACAACTATAAAAAAGGACGACCCAAAGCCTTCGACCCCTGATCAGAATCCAGCAACTTCAACGGGTCCCATGAATTCAGAAACTACAGCAGCTCCAAAAGATCCAGCCCCCGCTACAGATCTCAATAATTCAGAAACTCCAACGGTTCCCAAGATTCCAGATATTTCGACAGGTTCCAAGATCCCTGTGTCACCTGCTGGCAACAACTCCACAACAACAGCAACAATAAAGGCTTCTGCTGACATCACATTGACGACAGCCATTCAATCAAAAACATCTAAAGGGAGCCAGGGAGCGCATCCAGTAACCATCATTTCTGATTCTGATCAGGAGCAAGCAATGAGCAATGCTAGCAATGCAAATACAACACCAGTAAAGGATAATGTAAACTCAGCAAAAGTCAAGGCAACAGATAAAACTGAAGTTGCTGAAGTAGCCTCAACTCAAGCGGCTCCAGCCACTTCCACCAAAGCCCCTGAACCAACTGAACTTGGGATAGATGAGCTGGATGTACCTGACTCTCACTCCAAACTCTCTGATGCTCTGAATCAGCCCACAATGCAGGACCCAGCCCTGCTGGAGCCCACCGATAATGGACCACGGCGTTACACAGATGATGACGATGATGAAGACCCTAACTACGGAGATGGTGACGATGGAGACAACATGTATGACAATAACATCAGCTTCAAGGGCCAGAATGAGAATAGCCTGCAGCCACCAAAGGGGATTCTTGAAACACACTTAAATGAATCTGACGGCTACAACACAGAGGATACAGACTCCCACTTCTTCTTTCATCTGGTCATCTTGGCTTTCTTGGTGGCGATTGTTTACATCACCTATCATAACAAGAGGAAGGTGAGTGTTGAGTAACAGCTCAGGATGTAGTTGACATCACAGATCTGAGGTTTTTCTGTTTTGTTTTTTTGGTACAGGTTTTAAGATTGTCTGTTTAAAAGCCCTTTTTGTCAGATGTTTAAACGTTAAGCGTCACACCCCTGATTTTGATATCTAGAGGCTGAGAATAACTTTGGCCTTGACAATTTGTTTCGGGCTCAACATTGACACACTGAAACATTGACTAAATTGAATTAAAGGATCAGATACAAATAAACCATATGCAACCATCACACTGTCCTAAAACACACTGGTTTACTTTGTTTGTGGTAGTATAAAGTATAAATCTATAGATATTGGGGTGGAGAGAAACGGTGAGAATGTATTTGACCATCAGGAGTAGCTTTCCTAAGGGCACAACCTCACAAAATTAAAAGAAATGACAAAATGGATCAATGAGCGCAAAAATAACAACAAAACATTCAATGATCAGGACAAATCTGATAAATCAGGTTTGACTATGTAAATCCTTAGTCGAGGAAAGGCCTACAATTCATAATCAAATTAACCTGCAAGGAGGACAGAAGGTTAGCACTGCTAAAGTTAGCCACAAATTACCAATTTGGAATTGTTAACCCGCTAAATGAGCCCCTAGGAACGTCCCTAGTTTGTTCCAAGATGTGTATGGTTCAGTTCCTAATCAGTTTTCTGCCCAGGAAAACGGCATTCATCATTTTTTCTTTCCAGGGATAAATGTTCCCCCTCTGACCAATCTTCAGAGGAAGCATGCATTGCGTTATATATATATATTATGCTGCTTTCATGTAAATCTGGGTTTACAGCTGAAGTAATGAACCAGTTATTTAGTCTTTTATTTTTTCTGCAGGAAATACTATAATAATTTAGTTGATCAGCACTTGTACATCCAATTATTTGATTTCCATATATCTTAAACGCTTTTTTTCTTCTTTCTTTATAGATCTTCCTCCTGGCTCAAAGCCGGCGCTGGAAGGACGGGCTGTGTTCACGAAACACTGTGGAGTATCACCGCCTGGACCAGAATGTCAACGAGGCCATGCCGTCCCTCAAGATGACCCGAGACTACATCTTTTGATCCACGTTCAGAAGAAAAACATGTCCAGACCTGAGGAGAGCTAGATGGCCTTACTGACTTGCAGGTCGCCTTGTAGGGATGCTGTGCTTGGAGCATGGTTGATGCTTTTCTTGCTTTATGGTCTACCAGAGATTTTAACTGTTTGTCTGTCTTTCTTATTTGTTATAAGTTTTATTTTTAATTTGATATTTTTCTAGATGAATAACTTCTTGGAATTTATAACTTATGCTCTATTGGTGTGTTTTTTCTTTTTCAAATTTCAGCCTTAAGTTCCACTGACGCCTTTGTTATGTTTTTCCTTTTGGTCTTTACATTTCAAATACTATAAGAATAGAAAATGAGTTTATATAACAATGGTGATATTATAATGCTTTTTTTTTTTATTAGTTTCTGTCTCCAGCAGTTTTCCAAGATTTGAATCACACTACAATCATTTGCTTATAAAGCACTTGTTGGTTTATGAATATTTTTTTTAAAGGTTAGAGAATGAGAAAGTTCATATGTTCAGTCCTTCTGGAAGCTGTGAATAAAGGGGCTGGTCATAAAACATAGAACTGTACCATTACAACATTGAAAATTTGGGAAAACAGTTTGGATAGATAAAGTAGAAGTGTTCCCTTATTGTTTCATATCTCAAAAATCAGACATCAGAATCATTTTTCTCTAAAATTTTGAAATTTGATTTCAATTTTTCGAAAGGATTTGATATCCTTTTATCATGTCTGGAAATGAAGTCAAGAAGGATGAAGGGTCAGCATTTTTCTTCAGAGACAACCCTAGTGTTGCCCTAGTGAGATTTTCCACTGGGACCATAAATAAGTCTATCTTCTAACTTTCAGGTGGGGGGTCAGTTTCTTTGCTAAAGCCATTAAAATGGAGACAAAGTAGAATTGTTAAGGTGGGAATTTGCTTATACAGTCTATGGGAGATATTGTCTGCCTTTTTTTTTTTTCTTTTTTTTTTTTGACTTTGTGGTCCTGTACCTTTTCTTCTGTCCAGATTTTGCCATGCGGAAATCTTTGGGCGGGCCCCCTTTGTTTTATGACTTCGGTGAAGTCTCTGTCAATCATTTGAAGTTGTCATTGTGGCACAATTTGACATTATTTAACATTGAATTACTATAACCGTCTGTCAGGGAACAGTCTGGTGAACTGGTATCTCTGTTCATGAAAGGTTTTGCATGCTCTGTGTGGCCTAATGTTCAAAGGAGCACCAAAAAAAAAAAAAAACATTCAAGACATAAAGGAGCAGTTCATGTTTTTATTCCTTTTTATTTTCATACTCATGACTCTTGGCTATCAATCCAACAACCAGATTTTTTTTTCTTCATGTTGCGGTCACATGCTTTCAGTTGAAATGTCATAACTGCATTGCACTTGTTATTTTCTGCTGTCTTGTTTGTAAACAGTACACATAGGGGGAAGGCTGACAGATTGACACTGTGCTGTTCAGTTATACAGTAGTAGAACAATGGCTGAGGTGTTGTCCTGTGGCGACGTGATGGATCAGCACTGCTCTTGCAATCAACAGTAGAAACTGTACAATCTCTTTTTGTCAGTAAAGCACAAATTGTGTACAGAATTCTGTCTTTGATTATTTTGATTAAGGGTTTCATGTTTGACTTTCTCAGTGATACATTAAAGGTTATTCTATTCATTGCAGATTTTTTTTTTGCCAAATTACAAATGTATTATTTACATGACAGACCCTTCTGTGAAGTCACTATTTTAGAAATGTTCATAGTGTCGCCATTTCTGACTTAACTCTGTTATCCTTGCTGGACACTAGTGTCCTTAATGGAATAGGCTCAGAGGTTTACACTGTTATAATTACAGCCACATTCTGAGCTGTTTAGAGCCAAAAGTTTAAAGGTATTTACAGGTATCAGAAGACTCCCCCTGAGGCCTTTTCCACAAATGAGTTAGTATGTTTAAGAGCTGGAGAGCATAGCAATTTTGCCTTGCATAAAGGTGCTGTATCCCGTGGCTTGGGTTAGGGTCCAACCCTGGGAACTACACCTCAGGTCATCACCTTATCCTCGCCTGACTCTTTCCACTGTCTTCTTTAAAGGCATACAAGCCCAAAATAATCTAAAATGGGTCAGCGTAATGACAATTTTAATTCTAATAGAAGCTTGAGTTTTTGTAAAGGGTTGAGATTGTGGCAGGGTGTCAAAGTTTGATGTTTTTTGGCTCTCTGTCTGACAAATAGGCTATGTGTCACAAAGGCAGTGTTCGGTCTGACTGGGGTCATAGGATGTGCTCAAGGTCAGTGTTGGACAGTTAACTTTTTATACAGTTTTATAATTTTTGTGTCAGAGTTAAGGTTTATCTTTTCAAAATCAGACAACCGGATGTGATGTAACGAGGGAGTGTCACAGGTTAAGGTTATGTTTAACAGAAATAAGTATGTCAGTTAAAACAGATATAAATCAGTTTGGTGGCACATGGACAACAACAAAAGATAAACAAGTCAGACTAGTTACAGACTCATTATGACATTATGAAACACGGGTAGCATTTTGTTATTTACTTTTGTTTTACCCTTTTAAAATGTGGTTTAAAAATACTTCAAAAGAAGAGAAAATGAGGATGTATCCTATTCTTTTGTTTGTTTACTTTACTCCTCTTTCTTAACTTTCAATTCTGTTAAAAGATGTCATAAATGATGTCCAATCAAGTCAGTCTTAGCAAAGTCAAGCTATTTTAAAGGTTAAAACTCACTGGACTCCAATATTACTGTTCACATCCGTCATGTATAGAAAGTTTATTGAAGCATCTAGAAAGACAAAATAAATACATGAACTCACTGCCAACATGATTGTTTCTATGATAGAAAATCATTCCAACTAAACAGGTAAAACTTGTCCTTCATGACCCCACCCTGCAGTTGTGCTCTTTAAAACTTATGTTGCAAAATAAGGATGCAGTGCACTGACAGCGCCAAGACCAGAGGTACTGTACACTTTCAAATAATGATTATAAGTAAAGCCTGAACGATAGATGCCTGATTAGTATTTGATGTTAAACACATATTCTTTAAAAAATCACAGGATTGAATTAATTATTGTCTTAAGTAGCATTCAAAGTTAAATCTTTTGAAAAAGATTGTATACTTTTGCAAAGTAAAATCTTACAAGTAATACGTTCATATACAGTATATCCATTAAAACCGGGCTTTCTCAAACAAAGACTAAACCGTTGACTATAACCTGATTATTCAGATCATATCAGGACTTGCAGTGGGCACCTCTTATTAAGAATGAAGTAATACGCTGTAAGACTGATAAATGATAATGTGTGCTAAATGCTGAACCTCTGAAGGAAGCTAGTGTTCCAGAAATGTGTTTCTGTCTTCCTCAAACTATTTGACAGATTGAGGAGTGATGTCTCTGTGGCTGGGTTTGTTAAGCCTCCTGATCCTGCATACTAGGACTCATGGCTTCGGGATATTACCTGGAGACTCCCTGAATCACCTCGAAATCACCGAGAGAGCCATTTTAAATGTCACAGTGCAGGTGTGCCACGATCTGGCTGCAGCTGAGGGGGCAGACTTCACTTTTCCAGTAAGAATTCACTTCAGTTATTGTTAATGTAAAGCTTGGATTAGTAGAGTATATCTCTTTTGATATTGTTTTTGTGGTTTTAGTTAAAGCCTTTCTCTGCAGAGGGTGTTGCCGTAGTCTGCGGAGCACCAAAATCCTCCAAGAGTTTCCGCCAGGCCATCACATTTATCACCCTGAGGAATATACGAGTTGACCTCCGTCATGCTCTGAATGCCAGCTTCCACTTTGATGAAGAAATGTTTGGTCAAGGAAGGAACATCATCAGTGAGGGGGTAGAGGCCATCAAAGCAAGCAACGTGCAGGAAAATTATGAGGCAGCGAGGCAAAAACTGGGAGAGATTTGTCATCCTTTACAAGTATTTACTACAATGACTAAAACCATTATTAATGCTGTTTTTACTGATGTAAATAGGCAAAGATGGATTATCAACCTTCGTCGTCTTTTCTCTACTTTAAGGACTTTTACAGTCACAGCAACTGGGTGGAGCTAGGGAACAAATTCCCAAACCCTAATCTGCTCCTATCAGATGTCAGCATTGGAAACATAGCAGGTAAAGAGATGGTATGATGTAACTAAAATAGCAGCAAATGAGGAATTCTGTTTTGGTGAGAATGTAGCCAAGCTATTCAACGTAAGGAAACATCTTTAATATGTCCCCATGTTTACAGATGAAAGCAGGGCGACGTGTCGCAGCTGTGATGGAGATGACTGCAGGAACAACATCTTAGAGGATATCATAGAGGAGAATATCTTGACCTCTGGATACTTTGGTGTGGTACCTTTGACCTCAACCAAACCTAAAGGTGATGATTCATCTCAAACACTACTGCAAAGTTAGATATATTCTTACCTGATGTTTACACTAATAGATGTGTATTTGACAGTTACTGACCCATTATCTTAACTAAGAATCTTTGAATCCAGCCTGTGGTTGGAGGCTCCTCTGTGGTGTGTAGCTCAATGTTCTAAGGTGAGGTCGTTAATGTGACCAATACGTAAAGGTTGTAAAATCCTTTCATCAGTCGATGTGCTGGCTCTTTTCTCAACAGACAAATATTTTGGTATCTTTCTCAAAGTTGAGAGAATGACAACTATCAGCTCAGTCCGTAGTACCTCGGCTCAGGACACAATTTCCAACAATGAAAATGGGGAGTTGTTGCTGGAGAGGTGCAAGTTCAAGTCCTGAGCATCCAAACTACTCGGGATGCTCCTCTGTGTGCAGCCTCTTAACTCTGACATCTCTTTGTGACTTCATTTTTTTTGTACAAAGAACCGAGTAGGGGGGAGAGAGTGGGGAAAGATATGTGCAGGAAAAGAGGTCAAGGGTCTGCGTCAAACACAGGACGACTGTTTTGAGTGTAGTATGTCATTATGGTTATCAACTGTTGTTTTTTCACATTGTCATAACAAAAAGAAAGTTTAAACTTGAACTAATTCCTACAAATTGCAAAAAAAAATGATGGGCTGTAAAAAAAGAAGCTAATATTAATCATTCAAATGTTCCTCAGATGCACTTACCATCTTTCTGTCATGTCTTTTAATTCAAAGGAAAATGCAGCCATGGAGGAGCAGTGGATCAAACCAGCAACATTGATCCTATAGGTGGAATCAACAAAGACACGTTTGGATCCAGCCATGGACACCTCCACACTGAGGCAGCCAACATGGCCATCGCCGCAACCAGTGCACTGCTGGAGGACATTCGAAAGGCTGCTGGAGACAGAGCCTTCCTACAGTGAGAAACATGTTCTGCATGTCTGAGTTAGGTTTGTAGATGAAGCTAAAGGCAAGGAGGTGTTGCCTATGTTTTAATTCATCTCTCTACATCTCTCAGGATGTTGGGACTCTCTAAAGGATCCAGTAAAGCTCTTTGTTTTGTGATTGACACCACGAAGAGCATGAGTGATGACATAGAAGCAGTGATAAACGTCATCTCATTGTTGATCAACAGTGAAGAGATAACAGAGAATGAACCTGCAGCTTACATTCTGGTACCTTTCAGTGACTCAGGTAGGATCTTTTGGACACCATAGGCATGTCAAAGGACCTCTTTGTCTGTTTTTTGTCAGTAGATTTTCAAGTGTTACCCTAATTTGGAAAATATTTATAAAAAAAACATTGGCTTTATAAAACTTGCCCCTTCCTGTCTCCAAATGAAATCCAGAATTTGGGCCTCTGATAAAGACTACTGACCCTAAAGTCATCACCACTGTCATTGACTCACTATCCATTACTGGTGGAGGAGATGAAGAGGAACTAAGTCTGTCAGGACTTCAGGTACTGTGGTGACATTTAAATCTTCAAAAACATCCATAAAGATTATTGATGTGTGAACATCATTCCATTCTCTCTTGTGCTCATGTAGTTGGCTTTGAGTGGAGCTCCTTCAAACTCAGAGATCTTCCTCTTCACTGATGCTCCTGCTAAAGACAAACACCTGAAAAACACAGTGATAGCGCTCATAGAGCGAACACAAACTGTGGTAAGAGTCTGAGAATATATTTTAAAAAAGTACAAAAAAAAAAAAATCGAACCTGTCTACATCCAGCTTTCACAATTGAGAGTTTTGCTGTTTTTTTTTTACATTTTCTATGATGTTCAATTTATGTTTTTCTGGGTATGGATTTACTTTTTTTTTGTCATTTGCTGACACGTTAATTTATCAATAAACAGAGGAAAATGTAGACAGCAAAAATACAGAGTTGCTGCCCTAAACCAGTACAAGAAGAGCTGCTAACAGCTAGTTGTAATGTATTGTCTTTGAGTAGAAGAATAATTAGCAAAAGGTATCCTGAACTTTTTTTGTTTAGTTTACATGGTCTTTTTTTCTGTCCAGATAAATGTCATGATTTCTGGCTCAACATTGACCAATCGTAGGAGACGGCGTGACGACAGCCAGCCAAAGCAAAGCAGGATATCAGCAGAAGACACGCAGCTGTACAGGGAGCTGTCTCAGGCTTCAGGAGGTCAGACTGTTGAGGTCACAAAGAGTGAGCTCGCTGTGGCCATCAGCATCTTCTCAGCCACTTTAAACTCCTCCGTGGTAATAGCACAGATATTTTTATGACTAGTACCGGTAAGTGTTGTCGCTTTAAATACTTTAGCTGTATCATCTGTTTAATGCAATCTTTCAGGTGACTCTTCTGCAGTCAGCAAGAAACCCGGGCAATGACGATGATTTCCCTTTTATAGTTGATGAGACAATAACAAACCTGACAGTTTACATCACTGGCCGCTCTGTCACTTTCACTCTCATTAGCCCCACAGGTAACACCACTTTTAAACTAATAAACCCTTTCTCGACACAGATGACACAAACACAAATATTTATTCCACGTGTACTGGAGAAATTAAATCCATAAGGATATTTTTACTTGCTACAGGATTCAAAAACATATCTGTTATAATCATTCTGTTTATGGTTTTCAATCTTTGCTATTGTTTTATTTTTCATGTTTCATTTTATACAGTATCTTCGTTTGTGGACACTCTGTGTCACTTAGGGCAATTTGATAGTTTCTCTTGGTTGTACAGTACTTTGGTCAACATGAGTTTTAAATGTGCTTTATAGATAAAAGAACACAAATTGATAATATAACTACCAATAATAGATTCAAGCATTATTTTTACTTCCAAACAATGGAATAAAAGCTTCCTGTGTAGAAGTGTGACTCATATTTGTTTTTTGTTTTTGAAGGTGAATCTCAGCAAAGCACGGACACAACAGGATCATTGATCACATCTTCCCGATCAGCAGGAAACCTGCAGACTCTGCAGCTGCAAAACCGAACTGGATTATGGGAAATTAAAATAGTGTCAATTTATCCCTACACTCTAAAGGTTATAGGTGAGACCCTCCATTTATGAAAAATAATACTTGTGTCTTTGAGCCAATTTAAGTCTTATCACTTACCTTAATGCAAAACTGACACTTTCAAGTGAACATTTCTCTCCTTGGTTTGGATGAATGTGAAAACTCTGCAGACCACTGATTGGTCTGATAAAATCTTCAATCACAGGACATCAGGAATAATGCAGACAATCTACCAGTAGTTTGATAGAACTACCTCCTGAGCTATGCAAAGAGAAAGGTCTGACATAAACCTTTGAAGTGTTGTGTGGAAAAGCTACAAACAATATTCTCTGTAATGCCAGCTACAATTAAACACTAATAAGGCAGTTTGAATGTTTTAAGCAAATTTTTCGATTTAAAAAGGTGAAAAAATAGGACACTAGCAGGTAAAAGCAGAAGGGAAACATTGTGTAGCTTGTTAGTTTAGCCTTGATTCATTTTTTTACTTGCAGGTCAGAGTCCCATTGACTTCCTGTTTGACTTTGTGGAGGAATCGCAGGGGACCTTTGAAGGATTTGATGCACTTGACACCCGCCCAAGAGCTGGTAAAGAAAAGTGAAACAATGTAATATGCTGATGATATCCAGATGTATCTCAATCATCAAACCAGATTATTTTATTTTTCTTTTCAGGTGTCAGTGGTAGCTTGTTGGTGTCTTTAACTGGGAGCACCACTGCCACGGTGACAGAAGTAGCTCTGGTCGAATCATGGGGATCAGAGGAGATTAAAGGAGTTGTGGATCCACAGGGGAGTGGAAACTTTCTAGTTAATTTCGACAGGATACCATCCGTTGAGTTTGTGGTGAGGTTGATGGGGCGCGATGACGGTTTTAACAACGGAGCTTCAATATTCTTCCAAAGGCAGACACCCACTAACTTCAGATCTTCCAATTTGACTATTACTGTGAGTAAATATCCTGGACCATTACAGTGTCAGAAAAACAGGACAAAATCAGAGGCTATGAAGCAAATATAAGTCTTGTCTACTTTTAAGCAGTTTCTTGGCTCAATCAAGGAGAATACTGACTCTTGCCTGTTTCCCTCTGTCGTTAGGCTGATTCTACCAGCATCTTAGTACCAACAGAAGTGTTCTCTTTGCCCTTCTCTGTGACCTCCCATTCAAGAGGGGGAAATTTCACAGTCAGAGCAACCAACAACCAACGTTTTTCTTCAACTTTTCCAACCAGTTTATCTCTGAAAACTGGAGACACTGTGAATGGTACAGTGACCCTCTCTTTACCTCGTAAAACCCCATCTGGCACTGATGTGACTCTGACCATTGAGGTTGAGGCTCCCAGAGGCGAAGACATGAACTATGTGATGCTGCGTTTCACTGTCATTAACCCGGTAATATTCTCACTGAGGAACAATTTTACAACTTCATGTTTCCCAGGCTTGTTATTACCTAGGAAGTTTCTTCCTAGGATATATGAATTGTTAAGAAACCAATATCAGTCTCAGTAGCACTTGAAACCTCCTCAAGTACTGCATCAGGTAATGAGTAAATCAACAGTTCAATACTGAGAAAGTTATTCTTTCTATTGTTATTTTTTTTACCCTACAAATCCATATTTTCATGAAATTTCGTATAAAAAAACTGTTGGATACTAGTAGAGAATGTGTATATATATATATACTGTATATAAATATATCATGGGGATTGGAGAGGTATCCTGTTTCGCCCAATACTTAAGAAGAGGTATTGAAAAGGAAACAGTGATTTCTTCATTTCTGTACCTTTAATTTTCGTAACTTTTTGTCTGACTGAATCCACTCTTTCCGTGTCATAGATCACAGATTTCACTCAGCCACAGTGTGAGTTACTCACCCTACAGTCCAACTGCTCTGATAATTGCAGCTTATCGACATGGACGCTCTTTGTTCGGGTGCACGATGGAGCACAGGGAACAGGTGTCGACCATGTTCGCCTCAGGACTGGAAATGGGACCATCATCACCAACCCTGCTGCTGACAATGAGAATGTAACGATGGTGTTCTACAGTTCGTCTTGCTGTTCACCTGATATGGAGCTGCTGGTGGCAGATAAGATCGGTAATGTGGGGACATGTTACTACAGTTCCAGGGAAAGCTCACCAGCTGCGTTCTCCATGTCCACCAGAGTCACACAGTCCACACTTCTTTGCTTGAGCATAGTGGTAGGTGCTCTTATACTGACAGAACGTGGCTTCTATTGACAACATGTCAAAGATGCAAAAAGCTAAGCTGTATCAATATGTTTTGTAGTTAACAATGTTACATACAATCAGTTGAGTATGTAGTTATTTGAAAAATGTTACCTGTAGATACACGACCACAACTCAGAGTATTAGTAGCTTTTTTTTTTCATTTAAAAAAAATGCAATTACTCCATGCTCAGTGGTTCACTGCCTTTATTAACCAATTTGTAGGTTTCCACTATTTAAGGGAAGATTTATTAACCACTCACCTATGCCACAGTTGCCCAACAAGACATGACATTAGCTCAAAGGCCAGGTTGTAATTCTGTGCTTCTGTTAAGACCAAGATTGATTAATAGATTCAATATCTGCAGATGGATAGGCTCTTCTCCTTATGACATTGATGTGATAAACTTCCGCTTAACTTCACAACTACTGAGCTTTCCGAATGCAAAGTTGACCTGTTGTCAAGTTAGATAATATGATTCAGCTAAGGATGTAATGTTAACCTTGAAATACAATTTAAAATCCTTACAAATTAGGGACAATTCAAATAGAGAAGACAAAAAAAACTATATCACAACACTTTATTTTAACCAGCAGAGGGTGCTGTTTGCTTTTGTTTTAAGTGAATTTGAAACTCTGCCTGCCTGAAGGAGTGTGAGAGCCAAAGAGATTACACGTGAATTAGTTTGGGGCTGAGGAGAATTTAAATGTGAACTTACATGAGACGATACAAAGACAATTGTTGAGAGAATGTCTTTTAAAAGCTTTCCTTGCTTTATTGCCAGAAACACAGGATACATTCCTGATTGTTGAAATATATTTTCACATTTATGCTTTGAATCTATTTATTAGATGTTAACATATTTAGTTTATTTTTAGTTAAAATGTGAAATAAAAGTATGTTTATTATATATCAGCGAACCTTTTAAGTTTAAAAAAAACACTTACTCAAAAACCTAAAAAAAAGATGACATAAATGTAATAATAAATATAAAATAGGCAAAACATTTTTTATTTAGCTATTTTTATTGTCAGGATTAAACTCAGGATTGTTCATAATTGGACTAAAATCTAATTTCTATGTAAAAATTAAAATGTGTGAATGTGACATTAGATAGCTTTACAGTCTGAAAGAAAGGATGCCACTACTAAATGCTATTTACAGGTAGTAAACTTTGACAGGATTTGTGCCAGTTCTACAAAAGTTGTAAGATAAGTAATTTTCATGGTGTTTCTCGGGTATGTGGCAACTTGGTCTCACATTGTTTGGGATTTCATCTGTCCCCTGGTGGCCAAAACTGATTAATGCAGCTTTACATTTGTATGGCTGCTAAGCTAAAGTGGTAACAGCTTTAATTTTTCTAAAATGAAAAATGAATGGAGGCAGTCTGATGCCCTTTGTGTTATTTTTGGAGTTAATGTATTTCTTTCTGTTTATGTAAAGACAGTTCTGCTGCTTTGCTTCAGATGTATACAATGTGATCCAGACCTTCAACAAGCTCATCTTAGGTTCCCCACATGCACATGACATGTACTGATTGTAATAGTCCAAAGACCAGCTTGCCACCAAGCACCTCTAGGTGTTGGTTGATATATTTTTCAGGATATGGGCTGTGTGTTGGCAGACAGAAAATGAAGACATTTAAAAAAAAAAAAAACTGTTTTTATTTTTGTCATTATGTGTCTAATGCATAGCCCTTTACAGAACACGAAACATTTTTTTCTTTTCACATTTTGCTACAGTTCTTCAATTTCTCTCCTGTTTCCTATTTCACTATTTACATTTTGAAAAGCTTTCAGCAAGATTTATTCAAATAAACAGGTCAATGATTTGCCTGAGGACCAAGCAAATTCAAGTGTTGAGATGTGTGCTTTTCTGATGCGTATATTTCCAGTATAGCATGTGTGTAGGAATATGAGGTTTAGGATGACCATATGTTTGTATACTTAAAGGATGGGGTAATTAAAAAAAGGTTTTTGACTTTCTTCAGAACTTTAAACCAACATACATATGTCCCTCTAACTTAGACTTTGCACTCTTCTCAATCTTTACAAACCTATGTAAAGGTGCGACTATATAATGTCTTTTTTTATTTTTGCCAAAGCATTAAAGGTACATTTTGTTTAAATTGGAATGTGGATTATGTAATGATACACTTATAATAAATTCATTGGATCGAATCTGTTGGACTGTCAACTTGCATTTACATTGTCCACATTCATATTCTTGCACCATGGTACCTTTAAAGGGCAACACTGTGAATTGGAGGGAACTGTGTGTCTGAATTATAATAGTTATTCTGAAATCTGCTGTGTTTCATGTTCATCAGTCAGTGCCATTGGTGTACTGAGAAAGTTTATCCTCCAAGTCACAGATTCTCTTCTCCTGGGACAAAACTGTGGCCTTCAGATTCTGAATCTCCTCCAACAACCTCTCAAGCAACTGAGGCTGGACAGGATGAGGGAGGAGAAGAGAGGAGAGGAGGAAAAGGGAAGACAGAGTAGGAAAAGAAAAAGGACAGTGACAGGAGGGGAGGGAAAGGAACATTTAAGAATGAAGAAAAATAGAAAGGGGAAAAATAGGTCAAGGACAGCAAGTAGGAAAAATAAACCAAAATAAAGAAGGGAGCTTTGGAAAAAAAAAAGTTTTTGGCAGGTACAAGAGGAAGATAGATAAACAGAAATGTGTTCAACAGGTACAGACCTTTGTCATAACAGATTCTAAAGTGCAATGGCTTCAAATTTTAATTGAAAATGAGCAGCATAAAGCTAGACAGAATATATATTTATATATTTATGTAGAATCTTATTAAACTGACTTTCATACGGGGAATATTTCATGCAAGCTTGTAATAAAAGTCAAACAATGAATGCAACAACTTACAGGCAGACTGTTGGTCTCCAAAGTTGACATGCTGCGTCGGGTGGTGGGTCTGGAGTCCAGCATGTTCTTTTTTGACACTTTGAGCTCTCGACTCTTAGGCGGCACGTAGCCCTCCCTCATGGACACGAGGATTGGATCTTCATCCCGACCGTCTAGCCAATCTTCAGGCTCCATGGCGGGCTCAGGCCCTGCTGTGTCTGGGTACAGGTCATCCTGGAAGAGGTCCGACTGCAGACAGATGTGGATATGTTTAGGAATGCACTGCACATTTGTTCATTTGGAAGGGTAATAAAATATTTACCCTGGGTTTGTGTCTTTCTCAAAGGATAATGAAAGAAACAATGTTATAGGATAACATGTATGTATGCATGTCCTCTGAGGAATCCCATAAGTTAGTACAGGGACTTTGAGATATATACTAAAAGGTGACATTGAAATATTAATCTCTGAATGTTTTCCAATTTAACTTGGAAGTAGCATAGAATGGAAATTCTCTACATCCACTTTACACAGCCGTCAAAATCAAAACACGTTTGGTATGATGGTAAGTTTGGCTTACTTTTCTGGGAACTGTCATTGTGATGGGTTCACACTTCTTGTCAAGGAGCTTAAATAACCTAAGAGGAGAAGAGAAGAGGTGAGACACAGAAAAGAGGAGGGACATCCATTGGTTGTTTTTGTTGCTTTTTCAGTTATAACTCTCATGCTGTCAAAGATTCCTGAAGTCCTGTAAGACGGATAACAAATCCAATTCAGATTTTCTCTTCAATATGAATACAGTAAAGTACGTGTTTTGCTTCAAATCTTGTTAAATGATGATACGGTAAGGCCAATCCCAAAGTCCACCTTAAAGCCGAAGCACTGAACCCTCATGGACTTTAATGATGTCAGGCGATGCTTCAAATGGTTTAAGAAAAGAGTAATGGGACACAGAATCATGATATGTTGCCTGGAACTAGATGTGCTAATACCAATAAGAAAAATCTCCCCCACACTGTGTATCTCTATTCCTTTTTTATTTTATTTTGCAAACTAATAAACATCAGAATCAAAGTAGAAATTAATACTTTGTGAATATTAGACTAAAAACAAAAGCAAGCCTTCATACGTTCTGTATAAAACCAGAAAACCATATCCATATTGCTTACTCACGGGAAGTGTCAAATTTGCTGTTCAAAGGTCTGCACAAGAGCCCTCATCCACTTGATGAAATGCACTAAGCACTCATACTTACCGGGATATGCCTCAGTTTGTATGTGTGGAGATCAGGATTTAGCCAATTTCACAAGTTTCAAGTTTAGTTTTGAAAAGTACACAAGGTAAGGTTCTTAGTAAGGCTTAGTCATTTAAGCCTATAAATATACCTTTCATGATATTTAAAACTAGGGAAACCTTAAACACAAAATGGCCATGGAGAGGACAAATGGTAAGAACTTAACCGACTCATTTGAAAACCCAAGTTTTCACCATCAATCGTGTTGCATCTTACATGACTTTGTCAAATGATGTCGCTGCTTTAATATTATATTTATTCACTGCATGATCAGTATCTTACCGTGCAATCTCACATTTGCTGACGTCCACACCTCTCTTGGGCATGAAGCCCATTCCTCTCTGAGGCTCTTTGCTGCTGAAGGTGCTGAGGTAGTGGACGTAAGGTGGCTCATCTGTGATCTCAAAGTATCGGATACTGCTGTCCCCCTACATCCACACAAACGCAGAAAAACACATAAACATGTCAGAGGCTAATGTGGCATTGTCATTATTAATCTGAAAACACAGTACATTTAAAAACATGATTTCAGTCAGTCAATCATAATATGTGTACCTTTCCACAAAGGTAAACCATGTTTGCATCTGCATCATAATATGGTAACAATACTCCATTACTTGTGTCCAACTCCAACACTGCGATAGGCTCCTCGAAGTTTGTCTGTGGAGTGGAGAAAGTCATAAAGAACTCCTTCAATCTGAGTAATTCAGCAATAAAAAAGCATGTATTAGTCATGAATGAACACAGCATGTGTATATGTGAGTTAGTTTGTTACCGGGTCCCAGAGTCCAAGCTCCCTCTGGCTCATTCTGGTGAATCCAGTGGTGAAGATATTTCCGTCTCTGGTGAAGATGGCTCTCATTGGCCGGATCCCTTCATGTGGAGCAAGACGTTCCTGTTGGGCAGCATGGGAAAGCAATCAATACGAGAACTTGTTCTATCTTTTTCATTGTTTTTTCCCTTGGTTGGTGTTGAGGGATCATTATACCTCTGCTGAATGTATAGACTTATTTCTTTCGTTTTGTCACACACTTTGTACTCTGGACAAAGTGTTGGGCTACCTCTTATCTCTTTCCTGGTCCTGACTTGTACATGTGTAAGCAGTAGAAGTTCTCAGATCAATATTTTTCGACTGACTCACCGCAACCACCTCCCTTTTGCGGGGGTCGCAGACACGCAGGCGTCGGTCCTTGCAGGTGGTGCAGAACAAGCTGCCGTTTCGGTTCCAGCTGATGCTGTAGATGAGGTCTGGGTGGTCGTCCATGGAAATGAGGGGCTCACCTGTCCCCACATTCCAGACTATTATCAGGTTATCACTGCCTGGTTGGGGGGAAATAAAAATGTTTTATATCTTTATGCGTGTTTTAGGCAGACAATCATAGTCACTACTGTGACATAGAGTCAAAGGATTATAATCTATGGAGGTGAGTCCTACCCGCAGTGAGTAGGATGTTGCGTGCGGTGGGGTGCCAGCTCACAATGCCAACACGTTTGGAGTGACCCTCCAGGACCACGACTGGATCAGTCAGGGGGCGGGTCAATGCGTGATCTGGGATCTGCCACACCTGGAGAGAAATTAGAGCAGCCCATGTATATTTGTGTCGTATGTTGTCTGTTCAGGAATCAGTGT